AACCCATAACGAGTCACCGAAAGAGGGGATGGGGAACAGCAATGATGGGAATCTTGGGCAGCTAATAGAAGACTGCGTGAGAGGGAGAGAATCAGCAAAGTCTCCTAATAGCTGGCAGACCTGGGCTCCAGAGCATGATTTACAGGCAACGTTTCAATTACTGAACCAAATGATGAACACAGACATTTGGAAACAGAGCCAAAGCTAGGCAGTAAGGAAGGAGAGGAGAGAAAACTCAGATCTGGGACAAGGAAGAACTGCTGGAGAGGGCTCGAGGGGCTTCAGCAACTAGACTGAAATACAAGTCAAAGTCTTTGTCCACAGAAGCTGCCACCAGAAGCCAAGGTCATCTCTGCGACTTGCACTATCTATCCTACAGTTGGAACAAAGATGGGGAGGCCCTTCAGTAGCATCCCGACCAAACACCAAACACAGAAATTAACGCATGCTCTGTCTGGTGGACTCTCAAGTTGCAAGCTCTAAAGTCTGGCTCATTAAAACCTTTCCCAGGGGAGACATAAAGGATGAGGAATTGAACCTAATCCCTGGTCCCAAACATCCCTATGAAAAGACATATTTTCGTCAGAGGGGGAATCAATCTTTGCAGCAGCCCCAAAATCAGATGCAGAGTGAAAAAGTAATTTATTTAGTGAATGCAAATCAGCAGCCCATCTAGAATCGTGTGTGACTTATAGCTGTATGGGTAATATATGTAAATCCAGACATTAGTTTCAATTTGCATAATGTTATAAATGATGTAATTTCTCAATATGAGTGTGATCTTTCAATGTCAGTTGCAAAATGAATACAAGTATTAAGCATTAATACAAACAGAACAAATGACAGTTCAGGTACTGGATTTAGCCAGACCAGCTGATTTAGCCATTTTAATTCCTTCTCAGGCACCCCTAAGAAGAGGAAAGACTTTTTTTCTCTTAAGCCACTATTAATTATCAACTTCAGGAAAATTCAAGGGCTGCCATGTCAAAGGGTGGCACCCTGAAATCAGAGAAGGGAGCACAATGTATCTCTACAAACAGATGAGTAATATTCCTGACACATACCCAGGAAGTGAGGTTCGGGGGAGCAGGGAACTCACAATGCCTGGGAGGCAGACAATGCACAAGGAAGTGAGGCAGATTACTGGGTCAGTGCTTGAGCAAATACTATTCTAACACTTACAGTCTGAGCCTGTGATTTAAAACAGGCTTCTGGACAGTAATTCACATTTTTCTCACCAGAGTATGGATGAAATATTAGGACTTGCACCAAATAAATTACATAAACCACCAATAATGTTCTAAGAACAAAGATATGTGAAAAAAGTGCTTTGAAATAAAAACACTAAACACTCCTTCAAATCAGGGCGTGATAGTTGATTTTCTGTGTCACCTTGGCTAGGTTCTAGTGCTAAGTTGCACGGGTGTTGCATACACATATTTCTTAGATAGGATCAGCATTTCAGTCAGCAGGCAGAGTAAAGCAGAGTCCCCTCCATCATGTGGGTGGCCTCACACAGTCAGCTGAGGGCCCTAAGGAAAAAGACGGATGTCCCCCAGGAGGAAACAATCCTGCCACCAGCCTGCCTTTGGACTTAAGTGACAACATCAATTTTTCCCTGGGTCCCCAGCTCACCCTACAAATTTCTGTTCTGCCAGTTCCCACAGTTGTGTTAGCCACCTCCTTTCCATCTCATTCACTCGCCATCCTATTACATTATTGATTCTCTATCCTGTTATCACAAATGTATCTCCGTTCTTTTTTTTCATGTGTGCGCATGCACGTGTGCATGTGTGTGTGCATGTACACATGTATTTGTGTATAAATATATTATTGGTTTTGTTCTCTGCAGAGCCCAGACTATCATGCCTCAGCTATAAAGCTTGGATAGACCCCTGGCCCACATTTAATCTAGTGAGTCTCAATAAATATGATTGACTTTGGATTAATTCCTTGTTGTGTGGGTCTGTCCCACCCACAGTAGAACATTTAAATCCCATTAAATAACCACAGGTAGCTTCTTCCTAAGTCATTATGACAACCAGAACCGCCCCACACAGTCCCACTCCAGGCCTGCTTCGTGCCTGCCCAGTTGAAAAGCACATATTTAATGTTACAACCTCCCCATTTCACAGATGGAGAAACTGGGGTGACAAGAAATATTTTTTTTTTTCAATATTCACTAGTGACAAACAGTGAAGACCCAAGTTTTCAGATTCCTACCTCTTATTAAATCCTATGAAATGACCCTGAATGTGCTTATTTTTACACAGAATACATAAAACCCCTCACCAGATTGTAAATCAAACCTTTAGCCCATGCAATTTTTAATTCTATTTTCCATAGATTTTTTTTTCCTGAATGTTCATTTGTTTATTTAATCTGGAGAAGTGATATATATCATGGTTAAAAATTCAAACACTTTAATCCCAATAAATGTATTTTGCCTTAAAAACAAAACAAAACAAAACAATAGAGACCTACAATAGGAATTCTCCTTTTTCATCCATGTCTGCATGTTTGTATCCACATTGGTTTGTATTTGCTTATGGAGATGCTGGAAGTTTACCCAAGATGGATGAAAATGCAGGCATGGCTGAAAAAGGAGAATTCCTATTTTCCATAGTTTTGAAGCAGCTGGACTAGGATGCTAGTCCCTGATTGCTTGGGTCTCCCAGTGCCTTCTGTTTGGGGTAACACTCCCACCTTTCTTTGATCTAGCCACATGGTTCCCGTATGACCTGACCTGTTCCTCCTGTGTGATCACACTTCCCCACAGCCCTGCCCACACCCTCCCACACTCTGCTGTAACTGGAGATCAATCCTCCCCTCTTATTTTCCAAATGACACACAAAAAAGAGTCAATAGGTTCCTTTGGAAATCATGGGAACCATAGGACACAGGCTCAGAAGTTGTGTTTTTCACTCTAAAAGGTTGGTTTGCAATGAAAGACAGTGAGGCCAAGGCAGAGAGAAATGGAAATGAGAAGTACAAGGAGGGGGTCTCTACAGAGATATGACCCGTGTCCACTCCTGCCTGACACTGAGCTGCTTGCCTGCCCTCCTCTGGGTTTAGTTCCTTCGCGCTTCCTATGACTAAATGCAATACCTCATAACCTGTGAACAGACTTCCTTTTTCTTTGGTCTAAACTTTTTTGGGGGGGTTGTAGGAAAATTCATGATGTATTTTTTTTTTAAAGATTTCTTTTGTTTTTTGCATAGAAGAACTGGGGTATAGGCCAGAGGTGCAGGGGGTGAGCAGATTCACCATACACAGAGTGGGGAGCAGAACAGGCAGACTGACTGAAATATACTGCTGAGGGGAGCAGCAGGCAAGACACCATGTATGCTGCACCATGTGGGTCACCTCCCTGGCCAGGGATTGAACTCAGGCCATAGGGGTGATAGCACTGAGACTTAATCCCTAGGCCACCAGGGAGGCCCATTTTTTCAAAATTTTTCAAACAAAAATGTATCATGGCTTTTCTTACAACCCAATAGTTTAAATTATGTTTCTGTCACTGCCAATTGAAATTATCTTCACTAAATCTTTTTTTTTTTTTTTTAAATAGGGATGCCATTCAGAAACAGTAACAGTCACAATGGGGTTTGATGGTGCAAACTGGGAGGTATCTAAATCCTTCTGGTAAAATCTTTGTTCTGCCACCAAGAGTAATACTCCAGGAGGAGTTAAGAGGCTGTTGAAACTTCAAGGGAGTTGAAAATGTGACTTGAGAATGGAAGTGTACATCACAAATTTTATTATTATTATCAGAGTTATCTAGATTTTCTTTCCTGAGCTTTGGCTGTGTTTTCTTATAAAAACTCTCCTTTCATTGACATACTTTTCAGAAAAGCCACCCTTACCGTAGAGCAATAGAAATCACACGTCTGTTTTTTGTGGTGACACTGTGTGTGGCTCCCAAAGTGTCTTCCACACCTGCCTGCATGCAGTGGGCAACTAAGTCTGTCTCCATTGTGGGATTTCTCATGATGGGGATATTGGAGGGGGCGGGGTTGAATTTATGTATAAGGTTCTTTTCACCCTTCACTTTCCTGATAATTTTAATCCACATGAGGACTACTGCTGCTGCTCACAGGCCAAAGCTGCCCCTGGCTGGCAAGAGGAGAGCAGAGATGATTATGAATGAGAATGCAGCCACACTACAACCTGGTGTTTCACAGGAAAGAGGCCTGAAGAGGCTTTAAAATCAAGAACTAGAGAAGTCCTTTATCTTTCCCCAGTTTCCCTGAAGCATAAACTCCAGGAAACTGGCTAAAGAAATCTGAAGGCAGCAGGCCGCTGTGAACTGTGACATTCATGGGGCTGGCCATACTCCCCACACTGCTGAGATCCAGCCTTACTCATTCCCACCTACTCTGACACGTGGTCTTAGACTCAATGGAATATGTGTGCTTCCAAAAATGGTGGTATTTGCCAACTGTTTTCTTTTTTTGCAAACTCGGTAAAACTCTCTTTCTCCAATTTCTCCAAGAAAGGAAAACCAAAACCCACAAATGCAGAATAATAGCAGTCCTTCAGCTATACACCACCCCCCAGGCTCCTATAGGCCCAGAAGACAAAGGAGACTGATTTCATGCACCACCCACCCCTCCTGTGTCCTAAATAGCATGGGAAACACATAGAAAAGGTCCTGAAAGTGAAATTCTGTTTCAGATTTCAGTCCTCAGCTGCCTTCCTCTGCACAATCGATTGTCTTAGTTCTCAACAACAGTCTCTCCTATAACCATGTTGATCACTCATGCCAAGACCTGCACTGTCTTCGCCTGAGCTTGACTTGTGCCCTGACCTACTAAGCCAAGGCCAAAGTCCTCATTCTGAGCCATCACATTAGGCAGCCCTGGGCCAAGTCACTACCCTGCAGCCAGAAACCACACCCAAGACCACCCAGTGAGCAGAAATTATACCAGAGCCACTCTGTTCACTCCATGCCCACCCAACACAGAGGTTCAGAAGGCAGGAATACTGAATGCATGTACCTCAAACTGAAGAGAAAATTTGTAGTCAGAATCTTTGGCCATATCCTTGATGTAGGCGTCAAAGTCATCCAGTTGAACAGGGCTATGTCAAAAACAAAGAAATATATATTTTATTTATTTATTTTTAAGATTTATTTATTTATGCATACAAGAACGGGGGTATAGGCCAGAGGTGTAGGGGGTGAGAGGATTCACCAGAGACAGAGTGGGGAGTAGGACAGGTAGATTGACTGAAATCCACTGTTGAAGGGAGCAGCAGGTGAGTCAGGAGAGGTCTGCTGCGCCATGTGAGTAGCTCCCCGGCCAGGGATTGAACTCGTGCTGCAGAGGCTAAGGATTGCTTCATAGTGCACTGCTTATCCCCTTGCGCCACCAGAGAGGCCCGAAATACATATTTTAAAGATCTGTCAATAGGCATAATCTATTGTTTGACACCATACTTCTCAAACACAAACAACTTCCTCAGACAAGATAGTGTTACTTCTAGGTGGTTAGCTTTCTTTTAAAAAACAAACAAAAAAACAACATTTATTTATTTACTTAGAAGAATTGGGGTATAGGTATAGGATAGAGGTGCTGGAGGTGAAAGGATTCACCAGAGACAGAATGGGGAGCAGAACAGGTGGTTCTACTGAATACACACACACACACACAATATAAACTACATTATGTACAAATAGTACATGACATAAATATATAATAGTTAATAGATTTTGTTTAAAGGCATTGATAAGCTGATCTGATGGATTTATGCTGAAATTTTAGCAGATTTTAAAGGATACTTTACCTCTTAGATAATACATTTAAACGTTTTACTTAGTGACAATGATTTGTAGCAGCAAAACACCCTTGTCTGTGACGATTTCCACGTCATTTTGTTCTTGGGCCTCCAAGGTAGGCAGGTACATTAGCCATGTGCTCCGATGAGAAGCAGCCTGAGGATCCAAGATCACATGACCACCACATGGCAGAACCCTGCCTAGAAGCCCCACACTCAGCCATCCTTCCAGAGTGTCCTGGCCTGAGCTCCCTCCTCTAGGGGCTGTCTTTATGGAGCGGATTCACTCAAAAGCTGGATTTCAGAATTTTAGCTGCTATTGCTTTGCCCAGTATGAAGAGAGAATGAAAATCACAGAAAACATTCATGGATCAGAGAAGCAAGGAGGAGAGAGAAGAGAGATGAGGAGGAACAGAATGAACATGAGGACATGGGAGAGGACGGTAAGGAGGAGAAAAAGAAGGCTGCAAGGGAGCAGAGATCAACAGGAGATCAACGGGACAAAGATTCCGAGGGAAGAGGGAGAGAGGAGAGGGAAAGAAGTTGTGGATTACAGACTAGTGGACACAGGAAAGGGAAACCCAGGGTATCGTGTGTGTGTGAGTGAGTGTGCGTGCACGCGTGCACGTGCATTTGGAGTAAAAAAACAAAGAGGTCAATTGAAGGTGTGAAGTTTTGGGGAGAGTTTCTCAAGAAAAGGGTGTTAGAAAAAGAAAGAGGATTAGAAGGGAAACGAGAAGAGGGAAGGAAAGCAGAAGCTGCTTGGGTGTGAGATTTGGGTTCTTTCCATCTGTAGCTCCACCCCAACTTCTAGACACATCCTACTTCTCCTCCTCCTTTCTGCCTGGGTCTTGGGAGAATGAAGCCCTGTTGGAGTCTCCCCTCTTAGTCTAAAGAGCATGATCCCTAACAGCTCTAGCCCTAACACCTCTAGCCTACACTTCTACACCTCACTGAGTAACCTGAGCAATAATTTTGGGCAACAAAGTCTTCGTTTCACTCCTTACATGTGATGGTACATCTCTGTTTAGGCTCATCTTGTCTGTCCTACATCACTTGATAGATGCCCAAGGAAAGCAAACTGATTTGAGGCATAGTTAGGAAAACAGTATTTTATCTACGTGTGCCCCAAAATTATGTCACTCAAGGATAAATAGAAATATTCTATGCCATTTTTTTTTGTATTATATATGCCATGATTTCTTCCCATCTTTCTACCTACTTCCTTTGGATACTAAAGGTTTGGCTGGAAACCTTACCTACATTCTTATATTAATTTACCAATGTTCTAGTCTAGGTAAGTATCAAGAATAACTCTATTTATGGGAATGTTCTACCCTTTATATGTAGAGTTTTAACTAGAGGCCTGGAGGTCATAACACAATTAGGCTTTTGAAGTCAACTGATAGCTCATGCTTACCCATCAGAATCTGATTTTTTATGCCTTAACAGTTCAGTAGGCAAGTGAATCCACAGGCTAGCTGGAGTAATTATCCTTTTCTATTCATTATAAAGATTTTCTGAGACAGCATTTCTCAAAGTGTTTAATACAACACCAAACAGAGTTAAAGGCTTTGCAATTAGTACAGAATTTAAAAAAAAGGGCAAAGCTTTTGTACAAGTTTTATATAGCTAAATATTATTTTTTAACAGATTTAGACTAGTAGATGTCCTTCTGCAAGACTTCCATAGTCCCTAACAACTCATTCTTTCTCAGAGTCCATACAGTGAGAATCTTCCTTTTTTCTGATATGCTTTCTTATGTATGGATACATCAACATGTGACAGCTAAGCTATTAGAATATGTATTTGTCTCTTTCTTTAGCATCCTTTCCATTTGAAGATAAGTACTCTTTTGATATGGATTAAGATCATTCCAAATTGAAAATCTCAAGATGATTATCACAATCCAATCATGATCACAATAAGAATATAACAAAGGCAATACAATCATCATGAAGAACATTTTTAAGTGAAATATTTTCAAATGAAATAGTAAGAAAACTTACTTAGTCAGTTTCCTCTTCTTTAAACCATTTTTACTCCTGAGAATTAAAAAAAAAAAAGACAAATTTATCTGGGCAAAAGAATTGATTGACATAGTGATTAAACTTGAAGAGCTTAAATAATTACATCAGACACCTCAATTTTATTTACTTTTCTTTAAACATACCTCAGATTTGTTTAATTATGTCTCCTTAAAAGAGAAGATAATTTCAGATTCAATTTTTTAGACTCCATTAGATTACAGGAACATACAATCACTTTATACTTTGTATTTGGCAGAAACTGAATTCTAGAAATCTACCTTCTTGCTACCAATTAAGTTGCTAAAGTATTTCTCAAATAAATAGAACTACCTATTACCTGAATGCTCTGGATTCTACAGGCAAGAAGGAAAAACTTGGGGGACAAAAGTGAGAGGTTATGATGGGGGTGTGGATGTGTTGGTTTCCTAATTTAAAATGAAAATGACCTTTCAAGTGGTTTTGTTAGGAGTGTGAATTTGTGCTATCAACATGGGCTGATATTATAGCTCATGTGATTCTACGGCATTATTCTTCTAACTCATTTTTAAAGTTATCTGAAGAACTTCACTACCTGTTTGTTCTTAATTCATTACCAGCCTGTACCCTGCCCACTCTTACACCCCTTGCTCAGCAGCCCTTCGCCCTCAGAGTGGAGCACAGTCAGCGGAACACGAGGTGGCCGGTCAGCAGACGCCTACTGAATTGAAAGCACTCTTTGCTACCCTTGCGGTTTGACTTTTGATTCAAATATGAATCTGATAGTAAAAGTAGTTGTGTGAAGTGCCCTTGGGGAAGCAGGACCTGTGGCTGGAGGGGACGCAGTGCAGGCGAGATGTAGGGGAAGAGTCACAAAGGCGAGAGGCCTTTCTGGTTCACATTTTCTGGTCTCAGGTAGTTTTTATTTCTTCTCATTTCAACAGTTTCTCTTCTGATTTTTCCTGCTCTCAACCTCTTCTCGTCTTCCATCCTCGGAATTACAGGAAGACACTCCAGTTTTTACTTTGTCTCTCCCAGACATTGGGAAGCTGAAGAAGCAGCATCTTATCCTTGGCTCTGGCAGCGCTAACGGAGTCGAGTCTAGGAATCCCACTTTTGCTGGTTGTAGTAGGAGCTGATTAGTGCTTTATAAAAGCAGAATGTTAGCACAGATAGCCAGCAGTCTGGTGAAGCGAGGATCCTGCCAACATATTTTATGATTGGGAATGAAAAAAAAAAAAAAAACAACCTTTTCTATTCAAACAGACTTTTAGGGAAACTGGAAAGAAATGTATGTGGGAGGCGACACTGAATAAATTCAGTGCTGAAATATTAAACTGCTACTGTTCAGCAGCTGTGTCAAAACCCAATTCGTGGGGGAGATGAATTTTTCCTTTCACTCTCGTTCAGGCATTGAATGAACTGTGAGAGTGATGGACAATTCCACCACGGTTTCTGCTGGACCGATGGTCATGTGGCCATATGTTTTCATGACTAGTGGACAACTCTCATTGTTCCACTTAGGTCCTACTGAATTCCTGAAGATCCCAAAGGGTTCCTATATCCTAAAACTGTGGGACATGACTGGACTTAATAACTTCACAGCCACACTGATAGAATTTTCCTCTGCTGTGCTAATTCTAAGACTAAAATGAAAGGAAAATTTACTTTCCAACACATAAGTGAAACCTTTGCTAGCAATTTGAACTTCAGGGCATTCTGGAAAGAGCCAGTCTGTGTGCAGGTCACCATGAACGTGATGGGTGATGAATAGGGCTTGGTCTAGATTTTAGTCTAACTGATTTTAATCTAACTGATGAACAATACCCATCAGGCATTTTATCTCCATAAAGGATCAGGTACTTCTAATTTTTCTCTTACACTTGCATTAGGCAAGGTTCAAAACCTTCCAAGAACTTCAAGAAGATGCATTTTTTTTCTAAATTCTTTATGATTTGGACAGTCTTGTACCATTACTAAAATGTATTTTGGAGAGGAATATGAAGCCAAGGCATGGGATTTATACTGATAGAAAACAAAGACCCTAGATGTTCCAGATTTCCTAAGCACTATTTACTCTTTATGAGCTGAGAGGAAATGACCCCCAAATTTAAAAAGGTCACTACAGTGACATCTCTCTCCAAGCACAACATGCCCCGAGTGCAAGTCAAGCTGAGCTTTGTAAACCAGAGACATGGACCAAACACAGGCCAATGAATGCTGGAGGGTAGCAGGGTGACCGGGAGTGAAAAAGGGAAGGGAGAGCAGGGAGTCCTGGTGTCCTAGTCCAAATAAGGGGGTTTACTGAGAGTGGGAGACATCACCCAAAAGCCTTTAAGGCCGAGGTGCTGGCCGAGTTCGGTGGGGAGACTGCTGCATGTCAATTCTGTGGTTCCATGCAGATTCCCTACCCACCCAGGAAAAGATTATGAAGGAGTAGCACACCTTCCACCCAGAGGCTTTGGGAGGACTTTAGAAAGTCCACAGGAACACACCTTTCCAAGAAGTTGAGAGTTCAAAGAAGAGTGGTCAGTTCTCTAGGAAGTTGTTTCCTTATTGCTCAGGAAAAGAAACGGTCCTTCTAGATACTTGTGCCTCAGAATTCAAGGTTATTCTTTTATAAAACTGAGGGGGATACTCTTCACGACTTGAATATTAAAATGATTCAACAGTCAAGAAAACGAGAACTTAAAGGAAACTTTTTTTCAGAGTGAAGAACAGATTTCAAAGATCTGGCTTTGGAACCTGGGTTTTCTAGTCAGTCTCCTTAAACCTCAATTTCCTGTGGTGCTGGTCAGCAAGGTAGCTGAAATGTGACAACAAACACCTCTGAAGGAGGGATACAAATGATTACTCAGTGGATGAAAGCAGAGAGAGAGTTCCCTGGTTAGCAGATGAAGAGAAAAGCAGCAAGTACAAGGGATCTGGGCAGCTTTGTGTGTTCTGGACTGCGTTTGGAAAGCAGGTACCATGCCTTGTGCTTCTTCTTTATCTGTCACAGACCAAGCAGGGTGGAGAATATGGCTCCTGTTTGTATATTTTCATTGGCTGCTACATGTGTGGTTTACACAAAAGTGAAAGAACGCACATGGTTCTCCAAGTCACCTTCTCTTCCCACCTGGAGACCATCCAGAGCCACTACTTTTTTAAAAAATGACTGAGGGGAATTGCTCTCCTACCTCGGTCTCATGCTATGGGGTCAGCTCCCTAATTAGCAGGCCTTGAAGACTTTCCAACAGTGAAGTATAATAAGGAAGACATGTAAATAACCACAGGCCCAACATATATTTAAAATGAACTGTTTTGAGAAATTGAAAAAATCAGAGATTAAGCAGAGAAATGAAAGTACTATTGTATGGATCTTTCTTTTCATTGAATGCATCAGCGAGTTGGGTACTTTTGCTACATACATCATAATGAACAAAGTACTCCCAAGTACACTCATAGGATTAGTAGATGCTGAATTAAGAATAAATATATATTTTGAAGATCAAAATGTAATTTATATTTACCATTCACACTTGCAAACCACCCCATGCTAAAAATGACTGTTAACAAACTTGGAATAATAGCACCTGGGTCTGTAATGCCCAGAATATTCTTCTGATTTCATGACATGTACATCAGTGTCTTAAAAGTTTTTCTTTGCTCCTTTTTTAAAATATATTTTTTACATCATTGCTCATTTTTGAACAATGTTTTCTTCCCCCCAAGCTCTTTTTAAGAAGAATATAAATTCTGGCTTTAACACTCTACATTGTGAGGCAGTCTCTTTAAAAATAGTTTTTCCACTGCAATCTCAAGTCCTAAACTGTGCCAGCTGTATTTCTTCTGTCCTCGGGGGAACTGAAGAACATTTGATCAATTGTGTATTTGAATTATTCTCCAGAATGCTTTTCCACACCCCCATAGGCCATTTTTTCCCAGTCCTTGAACTATTTCTCTTGCTTTTTTCCTAAGTCCTCCTCAAATGGCCATGTTTCTGGATTTGTCCGTACATAATTTTATACCTAAATCCCATGGACAATAATTTTTGAGTCAGTTCTCTAGGAAGTTGTTCCTTTTTTTCTTACTGCTCAGGAAAGAAATGGTCCTTCTAGATACTTTGCCTCAGAATTCAAGGTTATTATTTTTTAATATTAAAGGGGCTACTCTTGACAATTTGAATATTAAAATGATTCAAAAGTCAAGAAAATGAGAACTTAAAGGAAACTTACAGAGAGAAGAACAGATTTCAGACATATGGTTTTGGAACCTGGGTTTTCCAGATAGTGTGATGTTAAGACAATCTCCTTAAACCTCTTTTTCCTCATCTCTGAAGTGGGTTAGCTAATACTCTTCAGAGTTGTCAGAACAGTTCCACGAAAGGTATACACAGTCTGTTCAATATTCACCAAGTTAGCATTGTTAATAAAACCACTAAGAACCCAAATACAGAATTATTCTGTATGTCTCTACCTTAATGCATTTTCCCCCTTCTAAGAAGTAGGGCGCTTTCTAAAGGATTCAGATAGTAAGGCAAACAGAAAGCATCATTTACAGAGATGAGAGACCCATGTGTTAGCTCAATGAAGAAACAATTGTCTGGTAAAAATAGAAGAAAACTTGCCAAGAACATCACAAGAAGCAAAATTAGTTGAGAAAACAATATTTCTTGCAATCTTTAACTGGTACCTTTAACTGCTTCAATTCATTTCAATAAATGCTTAATCATTTTAGATGACTAACACATAAAATAACCTAAAAGAACATTCCTTTTTGTTTAGTTCTTGAAAGCTAACTTTTAAAGACTCTGTTAGGTAAACAGTAAAAAAAGTCACTTACCAAGGATTAATATAAAATGCCAAAAGATAATCAGTCCAAAGACATGAGGGTAGCAGGGTTAAGAAAGCAAATATACTCCTACGCCTGTGAGCATTAATAGATAACAGATGTAAAGATGAAAAAGTGGCAAGAATTAGTAATATAAACTGTGAACAGGTATCAGTAAATTACCTACAGGGATCAATTAAAATGACAAGCATCTTAATTATGATTAAATATTATTCCATTCTGTGAAATTTAAATGTGAGGGCTTAAGTGCTATCATATTGGCAAAATCAGTTTTATTCACACATAGGCTTATTGTAATCAGATATATTTCTTTCCACTTATTTTGTGTTAATTAGTCTGCTATTAGGTGATTACATTTTGCATTCAGTTAAATGAGGTTCTTAAGTGTCTTGTTAGTTATCTCAAGTCTTATTCTTAGATAGTAAACTTCCAATGCTTAATCCTATTTTAAGAAACCTCTGTAACATCATTTGATAGCTAAACAGCAGCTCTCATTAGGTAATATAAAAGATCAGCTTACATATACGGAGTCTGGTAAAGACTCAGCTTTTGGGACACATTCTTATAAGACTCCATTACGAGCTGTCACTTTCCATGTTGCTTTTAGTTTAATAAATATGATTTCCAAAAGAATAACCCTGAAAACAGAGCTGAGTTGTAACACTCAGGGAGCATTCATTGCAGATAAGTAGCTTATTATCCACTGCTCAATCTGTACTTTTAGAAATATCAACTGAATGGGAACAAAACTACTTGTTCCACTTTAATTCTAGTTTAGACTATAATCTAAAGTGTCTGGATTGAATCCAATTTCAGATATTTAAACCACTTATAAAATAGAACATTCATTAATGAAGTTTTAAAAATATCCTGTGGCTGCTTGGATAGTTATTCTGAGAATTAGGGAGGAGGGAATGTTGTCACTTTGTCATGTTAACGATGACAAGTCCCCACTGAGATATCTATTCCCAGGCAGTCAGAAGATGCTAGTGCTGGCAAAACTGTCTTTGCCAACAGCTGTAGAATGTTCTTGATCTTATAGATATGTCCTGAAGTGAATTCTTTCTATCCTCTTTTCTCCCAAACCTGGTCTCCCTCACTGAGTCAACTGTGACCAGTTGTTTCTTTGGTCAGTCAGCACGTACAAGGCACGAATATAATTGGATCAATTCTTAGCTGCATCACTCATGAGTGCTCTGTGCCTGGACCTTTCTGGACCATACAAAAGACAAATATTAGTCTCTGCATCTTGGAAGGAATGTTAATATATTAACCTATTCTAGTAGTGTTTCTAACTTTTCACCATCTAGGGTTTATGGATTCCTCTTTCTCACGGTTGGATTAATCATGTATCCATAGCAAAATTCTATTCAGGGTACAATGGAAAAATAGTCCAACCTAGTGTCTTGTTAAAAAGAACCCTATGTCACCTAGATTTCCAACTAAAGCGAGAATCCAATGCTCACTCAGAGAAGTACAATTTATATTTTAAATAAAGCCCTTTCTCTCACTGATTCAATGGAGTAAACTTTCTAGTCTCACAAACCTATTCTTTAGGATAACCACCTTGGTGGCATAAAAAAAAAAACCCAGTACAGCATCACTTCTCAAGGATTAATACGAAATGTACATTTTTAAATATGCTTTACATGGTTACTTGCAACAAAAGAAACAAACCAAACTATTGATAGATCCTAGAAGCAGTGCTGACTTGATATTAAATGATTATTTAGTCATTCTGTTGGGTATTCATTGTGGAGTATAAAATACTAATTCACAGGTATCATTGTTAGTTATAATGTCAAGCAATTGAATCTTCTGACAATCAATACTTTTGTAATTCTCACAATACCTCCTTCTCCTCCGGGTCCTTAATACGTGAACATTAGGAAAAGTGAGGGTGTTTTCTCAGGGGAATTGCCTGCTGTTGCTGTTTGTTTACATATAAGTGTGAGAGTTGAGCGCCCTGGCTGGACATTGCTACTTGAGTTGTACACAGAAATGGGACCCCGCCCGCAGGTGCCAACATGTGAGTTTTTAGTAGAGACACTGCTCGGTCTCCACAGCTTCAATGGAACCTCCCCTGGTCTTTGCACCCACACTTCTCAGTGCAGGGCTGCATGTAAGTCCTGCCTCACACTTTAATATAGTAAAACAGAGCAGATGATGATATTGTCGCTACTTTAGAGCTCTATTAAACTAATGTTTACCAGTGCATTCTTGAAAAGCAGCTAATTTTTGAAAGCCACTATCAAACTATAAAAGGCTAATCACACCAAATAGTTTATTCCCAAAAGAGAGGAAAAAGAAGTCTGGAGCACCCTCTGCTTTGCCTAGCTACCTGGGGCTAGTTCCAGGGAAAGATTTTGGAGGAAGCAAACAATCCAGTACTCACCAGTTGTAGGGAAGCTTGCCATCCCTCTCTAAGGACGCGAAATTGACAAAAGTTCCAGCTCCACACTCCCTGTTTAAAAGGAACCATAAAATCAAGTGACCTTGACATGAGAGTCTTATCTGGCTTATCACAGTAGGACATTAGACAAAAAAGCTAATGTGAGTTCCCTGTGTTCCTCTTTTACAGACCATGCAAAATATAAAGATAAAACAACTTTTCAAAAGGTTGCACACCCCTCTAGCAAATCAATTGAAGCCAAAAGGATTCACTACCTAATCCTTTCCAAAGGGCACTGATGGTTCTAATATAAATCTTTGATCTATTTGGGATATAGTATTTTTTTAACAAAGCCTTCAATGGTAAAATACAGACACTCCCAGACATCAGCTGAGGGCTTTTAATTTTTAGTAGATTCATTGTGGGATTTTCTTTTTAAAACATTTTGGCTTCCTCTTTATCATGATGGTGGGTTAAGCTGGATTGTTCTCTTCCTCCAAAATCTTTCCCTCATGTGTGATGTCTCTATTACTTATCACTTGAGGTAAAAGTAAGAGTGCTTCCTCTGGAAATAGATCAGCTTTGCAGTACAGAGTTCTTGAGATGATTGTTTACTAATCTCTTAGTAAAAAAATACTGTCAATGTGTTTTTCCAGAAGCAGAGAACAAAGGTATTCATGTACCTTCTCCACCTTTTTGCCTGTCATGACCATGATAAATAGCATAGCTCATGCACCTCCTGCTTTCCTCTCTATGAAATTCATGGTACTTATGCAGAATTAAAGCAGCAATTTTGATGAAATTTGTACAATGTATTTCTTATCAGAGTATTCTAATAGCTTTCTTCTTTTGGAAAATATATTAACATACTTTTATAAAAATACTGTGTTATAAATTATAGTAATTCATTTTCATATGTCAATTTCCAATATAAGGAATTTAGTTTACCTTTAATTCAAGGGTTTTAAATCTGGGGTCCAAGGAAAAAAGTATATCTTTATTTACATAACCTAAAACTGAAATACAGCAATTCTGTCTATTACTAAAGTGGGCAACAAGCCACAGTAATATCATCGATAATTGTGAGATTTTTCTAAGACAGTGCAGATATTTTTCTGCAGGTATTAAAATATTGTCCATATTGATCACTATGATGACAGTATGAGTTATTAGACACCCTACTAATTAATACATTAGGTAAACAGTGTTATCTAATAAATTGATGAAGAAGCCTGTGAAACATTTTTAAAATACTTCAATTGCCATATTTTAAGTTTCTTTTTAATGCTATGTATTTTATTTTATGCACTTAAAAAGAAAGCATTATTCTTGGAAGAGATCTAAGGCTTCATCAGACTGCCAGAGAGAATTATGGCACACAAAATATTCAGAATCTCTGCTCTAACAACCAGCTGGCTGAAGCACAACCACTCCTCCTCAATTTCTTGCTGTTTGCACCACAAAGAATGCTCCTACCACAGATCCTCATAAATACCGCTACCTCCATTCCTACAGCTATTAGCAACCTCTCCACTGTTACTGTTATGATCTCTTACTGCACACTTACTATGACTTGAGTACCATGTCATCCTAGTAGACCTTTTTGTTGCTAACTATGCATGAACATAAGGCCGATTATCCTCTCTTCTGGTTTTCATTCTTTCCCTAGCTTCTAGGTTACTATACGCTCTTAGTTTTCTTTTCACTGTTCTGTATACCTCACTATCTGTTGCTATTATCTTTTTATTTTTCTCCAGGAATATCTCAATCTTTCATTGTCCTGGTGCTTCATCCAGAAACTTCTCCTCCAATCCTCACTTCCTGCATTTCATCCAGTCTCTAGCTGTACTACCCTTTCTATGCTAACAACTCCCTATTTATCTGCAACCCAGACTCTGCCCTTGAACAAAGTACTCTTATATTCAACCGCCTACTGTACACCTGCACTTGCAGCCATCTGGGACTTCACATTTCCAAACGTGAAGTCTTGATGTTCCTCCAATACTGGATTCTTTTCATCTGGAATCCTTTCTCAAGTTGATGACAACTTCATCCTTTCTGTTGCTGAGGCCAAAAACCTTGACAACATCCTGTACTTTATTCACTTTTATTCCACATACGATGTGTTAGAAAACCTGTTGTTTTTGTTTTTAAGAAGGATGTGGAATATGATCATTTCTCTCTGCCTCCATTGCTACTGCTCTAAACACAACCACTACCATCTCTCTTGGCAGTTGATTCTGGGGGCTCCCTGAGCAGATGTGCCTGCTTTATATCCTGGTATTAGGACAACCTATGTTCTACCTTAAGTCATAATGTTAAAATTTAGTTAGAGCTCATTAATCTTTACCCCCAAACTGTGCAATGGCTGCCCATTTTACTCAGAGTAAAAACTGAAGTCCTTATAATAACTTGTGAAGCCCAGTGCAATCTGATATCCTATCCTGTTACTCCTCAGCGTTAGCTACACTGTTTTAGCTATTCTGTGAACATGCAAATCATGTTCCTGCTTCAGAGCCTTTGCTCTGATAGTTACCCCCACTGGGTGGACACACTAGTCACCCAGATAACACATGACTAATTCCTTCATGTTCTTTAAGTCTTTTCCCAGACTTTTTCAGTGAGATCTTTGCATCTGCCAGAACTTCTGTTCTCTCTTCCACACTGCTACTGTCCTTACTCTGCTCTAGTATGTTTCTCTTCTCTAGTATGTTTCTCATGCAGTCTTTTTACTTATATCTTTATTGTTTATTGTTTTATCTCCTCACTAGAGTGTAAGCTCCACAAAGGCACAGTTTTTCATCAATTTTTCTCCAAGCAACTGGAGAGTCTACCACATGGTAGGGGTCCATTAAGAGTTCTCAGATGAAGTTTCCATGAGCTGTAGAAGTTCACACAGGTTGTAAATTCCTTCTGACCCCAAGGAGTGTCATTTCAGAGCTCCACACTCTAGCCTCAGAAGGCAGTACCATTCCCTTCTATCCTTCTAAGGTTTATCCAAATGCCAGCTTCCCAGAAGGGTGATTTTCACATTCAGAACTGACCTCTTTTCTCTCTTTTATGGTCTCTCCTTTTTACTTCCTTTATGGTACAGGTCAGATTTTATCTTAAATACATTTATATATGCACATGTCTCCATCTGGGTTCCAAGTGCCCAGTGGGAAGTTCAGATGTCTGACTTTTCTTTGTGCCATGCAAGGCACTGATGAAATCATTATTGGACAGATGCATTTATCTATGATTTTGTGAATGATATAAATCCAAGAATGAGACAGATGTTGATTGACAACTCAGCAGGCTAACACTGGACAAATGTAAATTTGGACCAAATTTTCCAGTAGTACTCAACAAAGCAGTATTTTTAAAAATGAGAACTGATGAATGTTCTGATAATCTAGGGCCACCGGGAGTCCTTGAGACTATGCTCTGATAAGAAATGCAGCAGGGGAATAAAAGAATCACCAAAATCATAAATCAAAAGTCTTATTCTAACTGCAAGAAAAACAAAACTGCTTACAATTCTGAGTAATAGAAACAAAACTAAACAAGGACTTTTAATGATGCTAGTGATAAATTCTACAAATATTTTCTGATAAAACAGCTTCAACATAATTAATGGGGAGAGAGATTTTTTTTCCTGTTCTTTTCTGTGGTCTCCATATTTATTTATTCCATGCATTCATCATAGCAAGTAGACACAGATCATTCTTCTATTCCCAAATATATTTGAAAGCACCCAATGTAATGACAGGATGCCTATGTCTGGGCTATTTAAAATGGCAAGACTGATAGGTCTGACTTTATGTAAACACACAGTCCTGTGATTTACCTTGTCTATGGGAATGTTGTCTAAAATAATATTTTAAAATCTACTTAGAAAACATGCAAAAATCAAACTGACCACTGTACAATTTCAGTTTGCAAAACCCACACATATGGTTAATACAAATGTTTAAAGGTGTGGGTGAAAGATGAAATGAAAGTAACTTACCTAGCCATCTGCAGATGTTTTTTCCTCAGGATGATAAGAGTAACAAGCAGCAGTCCAATTAATAATGTGCTCAGGAGGGCCAGCACGGAGATGACCACCACGTTAGGATTCATCTCTGTAACTAAAGAAAGAGCTTCCATTATATAAAAAACAAACAGTAAATAAACTGCTAGTGAATAAACCTACATTCTATCACTTTCCATCTGGTTTTAAGAGCTGTGGACTTATGAAGATGACAAAAACAATAAAAGTGTTTCTCTAACTGATTCCAGACCTTTCCTAGTCAACTCTAACTTAGGAAAGGAGCCTGATAAATGGTGCCAGGGGCCCGGAGAATTGTGCCCATCTCAAAGACCTACAGCCATATATGGAGACACTATCTACTGTGAATAATACCTCGGCCATAGTTCAAATTCATTTGAAATCAAAAGAACCTAGAGGTCATTCTCATGTCTTAACACTGTTTAACATTTTCAGAAACAGAAAGAGGGGCAGATTCTTAGTTCATGCCTATAACTTTAAAGTTGGAAGGTGCAACTGGATATTTTGCTCATGACTAATAATGTATATGAAAAAGGCATTAGCAAGTTGCCATCTGCTGCAGCACTTAACACGTCGCTAGGAGCAGGCATTCTGATGCCTGCCTCACAACCAAATGTTGTGAGGTTTTCCATCTGCACAATGCAAGAGATTAAACCTATCAATAAGTTGTAGGGCCCTAAAGAAGAGGGGTTGTGTCCTTTTCATATACTTTTGATAACAATTGGTCATCTAAGGCACTGACACGTTGCCCTGTTCATCACACTACATGAATGAGCAGGCGACTGTAGATAGGAATCTATGTCAAATGTTTTTATAAAACATGAAAGTGGACCAGAGAAGAGGAAAAAAATGGTACCATCCTCTGCACTGAGCACTAGAGCCCAGAAGCAACCAGCACATGCCATCCCCTGAGGTCTGGGATATTTGGACCCCTCGGCCCCAGGTTGTAGGCAGAGCACTTGAGCAGAAAGAACATTTGGACTCATGGTCAGAGGAGCTTGTTCACATTAACTTGACAAGTAGCTGCAGTTTAAGGGACGTTATTTTATCTGTCTATCTTGGTCTCATTTTCCTCACTTGCAGATAAGTTCAATAATGTCATCTGCTTTACCGGGTGGCTGTAGAGTTGACAAGGAATAATGAACGTTTAAGTGTTACTTAGAAAAAAAACGTAAAAGGATGTAGGTGTCAGAGACCAGTAATATATTTTTCAGGTTCATTTTTGTCTTCTCTTGTGAAGAAAACAAAAATTGAAAGAAAAAAAAAGAGGAGGTCCATTCTGGAAATCATTGACTAGAAAAGCTAAATACAGAACATTACAAAAATGAAAATGAGCCCAATGAAGGGGAAATGTGATTGTTTAACAGTGCTTTTATTACAGGTGGCTTCCCAGAGGGTCTCAGACTGCAGAGTCAGGATGGTCTACAAAGAGCAGATAAAACACGTAATTTAGAAAAAGAGTAAGGAAACATTATTCTAGAACTTTTGTCACAGGGTAATCCCCAGGGAAAGGGGCAGTTCCAGGTTCCCTGCCCCTATGCTAAGGAAGGGTGGAGCTGGGCAGGGAGGGGGCTGCTGGAGGGGGCTGGAAAAGGGAGAAAGGGGATCAAGAAGACCTGCAGGAGACACAAGGAGCAGAGAGAGATGTGAAGATGCTGCACTTGCTTCTTGGCTTTGGACTTGTACCAGGAACTTGGACATGGAAGGAGACACTTGAAAGAGAGCACCATGGGTGAGAGGCCTGTGGGGAGGCTGACAATGGCAGCCTTTATCTTGACTTGGGTTTTGATTTTGTTATTTTTTTCCAGATATCTGGGGTCCCTTGTGCCCCTTTCTTATGGGTCAGGACCAGAAGGTGCCTTATACTTGTGGGCTTAAGTGGTCCTACATTGGGCCAACCCTGTTTGGCTGGGCTTTTACCCAGGAGGGGATGGGTAATTTTAGGTGTTTAACTGGCATCTATTTTAACCATATTCTTTTTCTTCTCTTTACTGCACAATATATTAAAGTTATTTTCTATTGAAGGTCTTATGCACTGCAGTATGTTTTGTCTTGATGCAGCGGATGGCAGAACCCATTTAGAGCAGGCGGGATTGGAGGACCTGGGATAGTCTTCCTCTTGCCTGCTAACACTTCAATTTCTAATTTCCCCACTCATACTTTCTACTAGATTGGAAACTCCTTCTTTGACTCAGTAATTAGTGCTGTCATAAACTCTTCAAGCACAGCTAAGGGAGGCTATATAGACAACACAGATGAACCTGAGTTGATTAGGATAACAGGGCAACCACAGAGGAGGATGATATGGATGAAGTTGATAACAACTAGCATCTAGATAGCATATTCTAGTTCTAGGGCTTCATGTCTTTTATTTCTAGGTTTCAAAACAATTCAGCAAGGTATGTATTATTCCAATTTTACAGATGAAAAAACAAAGGTTCAGAGAGTCAATATCTTTCTCTGAGACACAGCTGGTAACAGCAGTTTGGGATTAAAATTGAGAACTTTGAAACCCAAACTTGAAGTTTTTACATAAAAAAATTTGAAAGACAGAACTTCCAAAGATACCAGGTTCTACCAGAGCATGTAGTTACCCATTGTTGAGACAGCTATGAAGGTGGGGACACTGGGGCTGTTGTGGCTAAAGCTGGTGACACTACAGTTGTAGGCAGTGGCAGGAAGGAGGCTGGAGATGGTCACGACATGAGAAGAAACAGAGATGGGTTCCTGGAGATGCAGGAAACAAGATATATATTATGTTATCTTCATCGAGTTTGTTTTCTAAATTATTTTTCACAGAGTAGATAATACATGGACAGAATAAAATATTTCAAATACAAAAAAGGGTAACAGTAAAAAATAAATTTCCATCTGTCTCTACTAGCCCAATTTTTGTATATGGAAGTCATCACTGTTGTGAAGGTATTTTCTTTCCATATTTTATGGCTATTTAAACATATTAGACATAGCTAAAAAAGAAAATCTTAAGTGACAATGGTTCTGCTCATTTTTTTTACCATAGTTATCAGTGTATTTTGCTGCTCTATCCCAGATAGGTACAGGTAAAGTTGTTTTTTAAAGGCTACATAGAAATCCATTGAAAGGACTTTATTGACATAATCAGGTCCCTATCGGTAAAGGTTTAGAGGTCTTCCCTTTTTTTTGCTAATACAAAATGCTACAGTGAATGTCATTTCATAAATTTGGGAACACAGGTATATGCATACACTCAATATGTGTGTAATGTATCACATCTTCATATGTAAAACCTGTGTGTGCATGGACATGTGTGAATATAGCATGTGCACACAAGTGAATATATACACAAACAAATATACCAAGCAGTTGACTTGTTGGGTCAAAATGCTATGTATTTGTTAAGTTTGAAAGCTCCTGACAAACTGTCCTCCCTAGACACTTTCCAAGTTATCTCTGTACTATCAAAGTGTGACAATGCCTGTTTCCCTACACACCTTCCAACACTGTGTAGCTGCAAACTCTTGGAGCTATTTCAATCTTATTAGTGAAAACTGTACTTCATTGTAGTTTTACTGCATTTCTGTCATGACAAATGTCATGTCATGAAAGTTGATAATGTTTTCATGAATAAGAGTCTTTTGTGTTTACTTTCTATGAAATATTTGGTTTGTTGGTCTTTATCTCCTTCATTTGTAGCAGCTCTATATATTAAGGGCTGTATTGTCAGCTTTTAGGTAGTGTCTACCAATGACATAGTGACTATGTTATCGAAAACATTTGCTATTATCCCCTGACTAGGTACCTAGAGTGGAATGATCAGGTCATTAGGTAGTTCTATTTCAGTTTTTTGAGGAAACTCCATATTGTTTTTCATAATCATTAGACTCATTAACACTCCCACCAAGAGTGTACAAGGGTTCCTTTTTCTCCATATCCTCATCCTCAGCACCACAGTTTCTTGCCTCTTTTTAAATAAATTCTTGCTCAGTGATTTCATTTACTTTTAATTTAACTTTGAGGTAACATTGTACTATAATAGTGTTTACCATTGAGAATCAAAGTGCACACACTACATTAAGTCCATTACTGCAAGTTCAAATATAGGCAATTATCATACCTAAAAGTTGATGTATCTTTGTGGTTTTGGTTTGCATTTGCCTACTACTAAGTGACAATAAATATTTTTTCATATGCATTTTGCCTATCTTTATATCCAAAGAATACGAAACCAGTGACTTGAAAAGATACATGTGCCCCTGTGTTTACTGCAGTGCTATTCACAATAGTCAAGACATGGAAACACCCTAAATGGCCAATAACAAAGAGTTGTGGATTAAGAATATGTGATATGTGTGTATATATATATATTCACACACGTGATATGTGTATATCTGTATATATATGCATATACACACATAAACACACCATCAAATACTGCTAAGCTATAAAAAAAGATGCCAATTGTATTTTAACTGGCTTTAAAACTGTAACACACCACATAAAGGATCTTTTACCAGGTATGTATTGCATTATATCATTGCAATAATTATTGGAAGTCTAGCTATCGAGCCATCCCAGGTGTTGGGAGGGGGGAGGGTTGTGGCAAGATTGTCTTTTCAATTTTGGAGAGTTTTCCTGTGGCTACAAGGAAGTAACGGGTCGGAAAAAGTCTGACTGTAAACGTTGGACACCTTCATAGTGTAGTGTTTTAGTGACTTTTTTTATACGGTTCTTGTAAATTAGATACGTGTAGTGGTGTTTCAGAATGTTTATTTATGCACTAGTTCAGACAACTTTCCCTGTTACTTGTTCTTGATAAGTGAAAACTGCAGGGAAATAAAAATACATATCAAAACATGGAAAAAAAAAAAGATGCCAATTGTGTCAACACAGATGGACCTTGAGGGGATTATGCTAAGCAAAAAAGTCAGGAGAAAGACAAATAATGGATGATTCATTTATAGTGGACTATAAGAAACAAAACAAACAAGAAACACCAAATAAAAGTAAACCCTGGGATTCTGACACATTAGTTTCTGGAAAGAAAGGAGGTAGGATGGGAGGAATGGGTGGAGGAGGTTGACTGGATGATGATGGGTGGTTATTAGAACTTTGGTGGTAGGTGTGATATGGTAATACCTTTGAAGAGGTGTGAAGTAGGACTTCTAAAACCTACACAATGTCGTAAACCAATGTTGCCTCAATCAAAAATTAAATACATTTAAAAATGGAACCTATCCTTGAGTAGGACAAGGTGTTAATTCAGTGGGCCGTGGTTGGATTAGAGAGAAATACTACTAACTGATGAGCCAGGGTAACAATCTTTTCAAAACAAGGATCTGAAGCACCCTTGCCTAAACAGATGGGAGGCATCAGAATTTATTTCCACTCTCATCTCTCACTCTCCTATAAAAGAATGGGTCTAAGGAAAGACTTTTGCTAGCGGAACTCAGTTGTTGTGAGAAACTGTCTAATCATTGTTTTCTTAAAAGAAGGCAGCACTGCCTTCTTTTAAGAAAACAATGATTAGACAACCAGGAAAATGAATATAAGAAAGTGAAAATCAAAATCAACAAAAAAACTATGAACCAGAGACACTTTTTGGGGGGTGGGGGGCGGGAGGGGAAGGATTGGGGTCAGAATGGGGCGTTTGCAATTGTATGGGGGAATATAAAAATAAAATTTAATATTTTAAAAAAAAAAAAAAAAAAAAAAAAAAAAAAGGCAGCACTGCAGTTGCAGAGAATAAAACCTGCCTCTGGCAGAGCAGTTATTTTCAAAAAGGATTCTTAGAAAAAGATCCAGCTGTTCAGTACTGATCAAAGAAGAGATTAAGTTTATAGGCAAATATTAAAAAGGGACCAGAATCAAAGCAAATGACCTTGACACTCAGAATGAAGAGATCTGTGCTCCCAGAAATCTTTTCTTCTCAATCTCATGAATTTCATTAAATAAAAAGCATCAACTATTCACATTCACAGTATTAGTCTCTGCACTGTGTTTTGTGACATAGTTCACAAGCTTGCCCTTTTCCTTCTGCGTCCAGCTGTGATTTTTTTTTTTTTCTGGTGCCTTTGCTTATCCTGCTCATTTCACCTGGTGAGCAGCGCAGTCTTCACCCTATTCTCCATTTGTGATTCTAAAGCCTTAAGCAATCACTTCTATCAGCCCTCATTTTCCCACACAGAAGTGTCCTCCTTACTAATTAGACATGGATAACATTCTCTTTTTACATCCTCTCAATAACATGCATCTCTCTTGTGGTTTTTGCTTTTGTTTTCATTCTTTCTATATTATTGCAACATTTACGATTAAGTGAAAAAGCTTTTGGAAGGCAAATATTCATTCTACCATTTGTGTTCTAATCAAAGCCTTGCATGTAACAGGCAGTCAGTTTACATTTGTTAAATTATATTTTACATGGCCGGGCCTTCATCCCCTTGATCAATTCAATGACCAATAGGAAAATGAACCACTCCAATTCTTCAGTTTGCCCTAGAATGGATAAGGATTGGGGACAAAAGAGAAATAGAATGATAAAAATAAACCTTGGGATTTGGCAAACAGGTTCTTGAAACATCTTTGGTACTTGATCTAAGCACTGGGTTCATTTCTATCACCAGAACACAAGAGAACACATGAACAGTTTTCATTTTCTGCAGGTCACAGAAACAGAAGATTTTGTCTTGCTCAGATAATTAGCCTTAATCAAAAGTGACTCAGAAATGGAAAATCAAAGCATACAGCACCTGGAGTTTTGTTTCCTGGCTAGAACCAACTTGCTGACAGACGACTTCGAAGAAATCAGCCACCCCCTCTTCCACCCACAGCAAAGTCACTGAAGTCTGGGTTTTATTCACTGCAAAAAGGGATTTTGGAGGAGCTGGTTCTGAGCAAAAAAAAAGAATTAAATTTTAACATATTCTTTCACTTGTCAGCAGGATAAAATGGGCAAACATTCCAAATATAGGTAAGAAGCACCACGACGATTTTATATTGCTTTTGAAATATATCCTTTTATAAAAACAGTCATCTAAGTTGAAATGCAGGCTACTCTGCCCCTCTCCCCCTTTCCATTTATACTTCTCTTTTGGAACACTTCTGTTTTTTTCAGTTCAGCATTATTATAGACATTATCTATTAATAGCTTTTGTGTCATCTGCAGTGGAGCTAGCCCAGCCCTGATGATAACGAACTTTCTGGATGAGGAAGGAAAATCTTTACTTAAAAGGCAGAGAAAACAAAGTGGTGCACAGACACAATGGAATACTGTGCTCAGCTAATGTGCAGACTCTGCCTGGCATTTAGCCAACAACCTGCCTTCCTTAGGAGGCTATTTGGAGTAATTTAGTCTGAGCAGACGCTCCTTGAAACAATAGTCTAAATTCAGAAGGGTCAAGCTCAATAGATAAAATTCTTTATGAAAAAGATTGATGAGAGGAGACTGGATGACTGAAAAAATGTTAGAGGATTGATTTATTTCATTCTTTTCGACATTGTATCTTGATCAATAAATTAATCCATAGTTAAGTAAATCATGCTGTCTGGGCCTCTTCATGTTCATTTCCTGTCATCGAGTCTGGCCTAGTTGGCCTGAGACCAAGCCCCTGCCTGATCCCCATTTCTAGGAACTGGTCTGCTGTCTTGTTCCCCTCTTCCTGAATCTCTCCTAATCTCCTTCAGGCATTGCCTTTCTCTCGAGTTCCTCCGGTACCCATTGAGCAGTGTCTGAACCCAAGTTTTTCAATGGAGCTGCCTGCCAACCTCCTTGGCCTTGCTCTTTGTCACAGATCTTCCTTTTGGTTTCTCTTGACAGTGTTTCCTGCTCACCTGAATGACCCACATTATTTGTTTTTCTCCTCTGGCAGACTATTGATGTCTCTGACAGGTCTATTTTTTCCCTAGCTATATCAGGGAGAAACTTCACTTTGCTTCCAAAGGAAACAAAAGTTATTACAGTACTTCGTAAGTAGAGGTGTTATGGGGTTGGGAGGGCCTTATAACTTTCACCATTCGGGACAACACCTGTGCCAGGGAATGTATTATGTTAGAACTGCAGTGTACAGCACAGTCACTGCCAGCCACATGCAGCCACTGTGAACCTGAAACATGGGTTGGCCAAACTGAGAAATGCTGCAGGTATATAATACAAAGTTGGGATGCAAGATTTAGTATGAAACAAGAACAAAAGCCTCTCGTCAGTAATTCTTCATACTGGTCATATGTTTGAATCATACTACTCTAGCTATATTTGGTCAAATGAAGCCTATTAGACTCAATTTCACTCTCTTTTTTTTCTATTTAGTAATGTGGCTACTAGAACATTTAAAATTACCCATGGAGCTCTCCTGACATTTCCACTGGACACCATTGGCTTAGAAAACACCCTTCCTGTTTGACAGAGCAGAAATCTACAGATTCTTGGCACAAGCTGGTTGGAGAGGCCGCCTTTCTTGTGAGAAGGCAAGGTTAGCTCAGCAACATGGCTAGGAAGAGTTAGATAATTCATGTTTCCTAGTATCAGGTCCAAAACAATAAAATATTGTTTAGGTAATTTTATGTGATAGAGAATAAAATGATACAGACTTTTGACTGGTTTCTATCTCTGTTGAGGGCTGAATTGTGTCTTTCTAAATTTGTATGTTAAATAGCTGGTTCCTCAATACCTCAGAGTGTGACGATACTTGGAGACAAGGCCATTCAAGAGGTGATAAAGTTAAAATGCGGCTTCTGGGGCATCATCCTTATATAAAGAGGAAATTTGGGCAAAGAGACACCCAGGAGGAATGGGGACAGAAAAAAGACTAAGGATAGGGTTGGAAGGGGTCATCTGAAAGTCAGAGAGGTGTCTTGGGAGAAACAACCTGCTAACTCCTTGATCTTGGTCTTTGGGACTGTGAGGAAATCTCTGCTGCTATTGAAGCAATCCAATTTCTGGTGCTTTGTTACGTCAGCCCTAGCCAACTAATACAGTCTCAAAGTAGCAAAGTCTAGCTCAAAGGAGCAAAGTCTAGCTCAAAGGAGATGGTTAGGATGACCTCATTAATGTCATGAACAGTAAGTAGGTTTTAAAATAATGTACAGGGCCTCCCCGGTGGCGCAGCAGTTGAGTGCTGGGTTGCAAAGCTGCCCGCAGCCTCTGCGGCTCCGGTTCGATCCCCTGCCGCTCCCCGGCCACCGGAGGAGGGTCCCACATGGCACACAGACCTCTCCTGCCACCCGCTGCTCCCCTCAGCAGTGTACTTTGGTCCTTCTGCCTGCTCTGCTCCCCGCTCTGGCTCTGGTGAATTCTCTCACCCTCCCACGCTTCTGACTGTACCCAGTGCTTGTATAAATAAATAAATCTTAAAAAAAATAATGTACAGAAGGTAACTTTACATGGTGTGAAGAATCAAGTAGAAATTGGTTATAGAACATCTCATCACTTTCTATCCTTCCAAATGACATTTTTTAAATTTGTTTTTCCATTGTAAAGTCTTTTTTCTCTAAATGACAAAGTCTTAACTTCAAAATCCCTCTGCAGAGTAATGTCAGATTTCCTTTTCATCAAAATAATTTCAGAGCCCATGATCTGAGAACTTATTGATATGTTAAAGGAGACAGATATATTACTTTCACCAAATTATAGAGGGCTTGCTTTTGAACACGCTCTAAAAGTTTTCAAACATTGCTGTGCTATATAATCAACTACTTGGCTACTTCTTTTTCTCCTCACTTCTTGTGTTCTTTCTTGAACTGGGAACCCAAACTAATTTTATAAGGAAATCAAGTACCAGGCAGAGAACATGGGGAAGGTGAAAAGCTGTAAAGCTATCGCTCCCATGTAATTTAGATGGGATTATGAGAGGCTCAAGCTGTTACCCTGCATCTCCTGGGAGGAAAGTAACCTTAGGTGAAGTATGAGCTAGTGTCTGATTCTTACTCTCCAAGCTGGCAGCAAATCTCTTCCTAGGGAATCCCAAAGGGAGTCAGGTATAACAGTCTGACAGCTGAATAGAATAATATCTAAAAATCCATCTTTCTCTGTTATTACATCACTTTTTATTTTAATGTGACCCATGCTAGTTGCCAAAAGAATGATGTTAATGAGGCCAACATTATATCCATAAGGGTCAACTACTTCCATTCTGCTTTTATTTTCTACGTCAACTTGGCCCATCATTTCACAAATGTGTGACATTGATGATAAGGGGAAGGCAGTAAGAAAATATTGTTAAAAGTGTTCAACATGGCAACATCTATATTCAATGCTCAGCCTCTGATGATAATTTTCTAGCATCCTCTTCATGTACAAAGGATGGTCCTTACCATCTATGTTAGATGGTAAATCTTCTAAATCAATTTTAATGTCCCTTAAATCAGGCAAGTCTACATTATATAGAATAAGTTATGTAACTTATACTCAATTTGGCCAAAGGAAACTCTAATCTAAGCAGTGTAAGCTGTATTAATTATGTACAACGTGGCCAAAGGAACATCTGTAAAACAAAGTACCATTTGAAAGAAGAGAGGTAGAGAAATTACTCAGGGTCAGATTGATGCACAATGAAATTAAGAAAAGGGAAATTTATATTAAGTCACATAAGATGTTGTTAACCTGTTCTCTTGCTAACGTTAGATTCTTTTCTAACTGCATTTAATAAGTAAATAGAACATTTAACAATGGAAAATATAGAAAACATTCAGGCAAGCATTTAGCATTTAATTATAATTAAGCCCCTTTCATAAGCAAAACAAAATTATCTCAGAAATTAGAAATACCTGTGATTTCCGGTACATTTTAATTAAGTTCTTTAGGCTTTAATGACAGCAAATGCAGTAACCCTTCTATGAGTGACCTAGTACATTCATGGTTTTACCAGCTCAAGTAACTTCTAATGATTGGTAGATTATTTTCAGAGGACGTTCTCATTTATCATTGTTTAGTTTCAAAATGAAATATTTGACTTCCTCCTTTTATGGTTCCAGGAATAAGTATTTTTTCTTAATATTTTATATTAAATAGAAGTTATTTACTGCACAATTCTTAGCAGACATCACGACTCCTTGTATTATTAATCTTGTTGCCTTTACTCTGAGTTCAGGTAAGAGTAAATCCTAAAACGTGAAGGAAAATTAAGGACCTAAATTCGTTCAGACCCTAGTTTTACAGATGAGGCAATTGAAATCCCAAGGTCTGAGCCACTTTTCTAAGGTGATCCATTTTGCTTGTGAGACCAAGCCAAACCTCTACACCCAATGTAAGGATCCTTGCTATACCCAGCTACTGCCTATAAACAGGGAGCCTTCCATGTGTTTCTATTTCCCAGCTGGGGCTGATGAGGCCCCCTGCAAAGTTTCTTTGTGCAGAGACCAATTTCCCTAAGTGAGCACTTGTTCATATACTTCTATCCATGCCAATATCACAGTCATCATCCTGATTCTTCTAGCATATTGGAGAAAGACTTGCAAACCACATTCTGGTGGGCAGGAGATAAGCTTTTAAGGAAGTGCCCAAACGCCAGACAATTGGTAAATTGTAGTGAAACTCAGAAGACCACAATGAGAAATGGGACAGCCACATATTAAGGCATGTGATCAATTTGTGTCAGCCTGAGAAACAGAAAACTGTGGCAAGCCAGGCAGCCAAACCCAGAAAGCCAAGCTTGCAAGGGGAAGCTTAGCACGCGGGTCCATACAAGAGTGACACAGCAATGGAACCCTGAAGAACATGCTGGTTTATAAGACGTCGATAGGATGAATCATCTGCAAGCTCCCGTCATCCCTCCCTCACGTGAATGTCCTGATATGTTTTAGTCCAGTTTCCCCCAGTCTACAGCCACCCCCTGCACTGACTCCCCACCAGTCAAAGCCAGCAGTGTCTCAAGTCTCAACTCTATGCTGCAACAG